GCGAATCTAGTATTTAAACATGGGGAAATTGAGGACCGGTAAGTGTAAAAGTAAAACCGATGCAGCAAATAAGCAGAAGATGCAGCAGAAAATCAAGCAATAAGCCGTGCCTGCCCACAGCTGTTTCTATAAATACTACAACCCGAAAGCCCCGATTTGATGCAACCATACGAGCTCCCACCACCACCACCACCACCAACACCACCACCACCATCATCACCATCACCATTACAGTAATTCTGCATCTTCTCGTTCCTTCAAAAGCACGGCACAGCAGCAGCAAGTATGGTTATTGACCCTCGTGCCCGCCTATTCCCTCCTTAACCCCATCCTCCTCTTCTTTTTCCCTTTTTTTTTTCTTCTTCTTTTTTTTTTTTCTTCTTTTTATTTCTCTCTTTCTGTTAGTCGTCGCGTTACTATTTCCGTTTAGAAGAAAATCGTCCGAGAAACCGAAACGGACTTAATATTATGCCTACGCGTTAAAACGCAACCGAAACATTTTAAATTTCAACACCATTTTGCAAATGAAAATGCATTTCGACAAATTTTTTTTAAACTTTCCAATTCGATTGTTCTTACGATTAATACGATTTATTAGTTTATTTTGTTTAATAAGATTTTTACTAATACAATAACGCCACCCCCGTACCTATTCCCTTTTCTGTACCTGGCCCTATTTACTTAAGTTTATTATCTTTTCGTTTTCTTTTTTTTTTTTGTTTGGGTTTCGATAACGAATACGACGGAATCTTATCGACATTTCGGACAACAAGAAGAAAAACAAACTGCATTATTACTTTCTTGAGTTCGGGCAATATATTTTTTTTTGTCTTTTTGTGTTTATTTTTTTTCTTTTTTAACATTTCTACCTTGTTACTAGTTCGTTTACATTATTCTTTTTTTTTTTTGTTACAGATATACGCTCGTAATTTTCTAACTAACGACGAGAGACAAACATACGACATTTTTATCATTTCACACTTTGACGTATAAAAATGTCATAATTATTCATCTTAAAACAAACAAACAAACAAACGAAAAAAAGAAAAAAATAAGGTAACTTCGATATATTATCTCATAATTTTATACTCCTTTTTTAAAAAAAAGTATCATCCTTCACATATATTATTTTGACTCTCGAGTTTACAATGAATAATCTTCTTTAAAAAAAAAGGAGTACGAATACAAATAAATTTATTCGAAATTGTCATTTGACATTAAAAATAAATCATTCAAACGCACAATATATATATACATATATATATATATATAAAAAAGAAAAAGAAAAATTACAACAAGTAGGAAAATATTTAATCTATGACTAGAAAAAACAAGTATCGTATCTTGCACGTAATTCGATTCAACGCAACACTCCTTCCCCCCCCCACCCATGAAAAAATAAATTAATATAAGAAAAAAATATAAAAAGAAAGAGATAGATAGATAGATAGAAACAATGACAAAAGGGAGATGAGAAAAATGAAAAGAAAAAATAAGAAGAGAGAAAAAAGAGATGGGGGGGAATCTCCACTGCCAACCACCTTCACCACCCCGCCCCGCCCCAAGTGCACCGTTGTGTTGCATCGCGTTTTATAACGCGTTTTACTGCAACACTGTGGCTGACCAATGGGGTCTTCTTCTCTTTCTCTCTTTCTACATTTATACTCTTTCTTTCTGTACTTCATGCAACTCTGAGCGAATGCACGTTCATCGTCTCCTCCACCCCCCACACCCCCCACCAAATGCACTCCTGCACCCCTCCCACCACCTCATAACCCCTTAAACCCCTCTTACTCCTACTACTCCTCGTCATGGTGCTCCATCGCCATAACTACTACTACTACTACCACTACTACCTTCATCTACTCTTCCAGCACCCCTTCCACCACTTCACCACCTTTTATCTCTTTTTCTCTTTCTTAGCAAAGAGAGGAGGCTCGACCAACGGAGCAGGGTCATGGCCGGACATAGTCTGCCATACACACTCACGGGATTGCCATACACCCACACTATACACATCTGTTATATGTTTCTTTATTTCTTTATACCTTTCTCTATCCTTTCTCTTTATATTTTCTTATCTTTCTTTAACATTGGGTTATGTTAACGATGTTAAAACATTCATTCACATCGTTCATTCATTTATTTATTATTATTATTTAATTATTTATTTATTTATTTATGTATATATGTGATTTTGTTTGTTTTATTTTTATGGATTTACGATAACTTGTTTTTTCTAATAATGTAATAATATTTATTAAAAATGTATGTTTATATATATAATTGTTATATGATATAATTTTGTGTTATGGTATATTTATAATTGTAA